TTAAAACAGTGGAAGAAAATGTTTAGCATAAATAATATTGTGAACTAGGATTTTGCAGGAGCAACTGAAATCTGTGGTTGTGGAAAACTCTTCAATGGCACTTTCAGATCAAATACTCGCATCACATTTTTACAGCTTCTGTTTGCACTTGCACATTCAGCAAGATTACTGTAGCAATTTAAGCAAGTCAAAATGATACTTATTTCACTCACTATCGGTGCACATTTCTGCGTTTTGTTCCACCGGGGAGGTCGGAATCAAGAGCTGTTGTTTTTAACCAATCCCACATTTAGCCCATGAACAGGTTTTCTGAAATGGCGCTTGCCAGTGATGCAGTCATGTGTCAGACTAATCAATGTACATTCACGCCATCTGGACCCATCAACATCCAGTTATGTCACTTGTTTGTCTCGTGCTGGGAGAACAGGCTGCCGGTTCACCAAAGAAGACAGAGAAGAAAGAAAAGTCCAAAGCCTTTACCATTCTGAATTTTTAGAGTGTGTTGGATGTTACAAAGTAACGTGACCGTGACGTGTGGCTGACTTGAGTCTTTGGGCTGAAAACCGGATATACATGCATCTCTAAAGCCGAGTATACACTGTGCGGCTTTTTTTAACCCTTTTTTAGACGATTTTCCTCCCATGTGAGAAACTTTGAGGTCGGAGTGAGTTCTGCGTTGTGTAGTATTACAGGGGCTACTGAGAGATGATTAACACCTCACAAACAGCTCTAAGTCAGAAATTGTGCGGTCGCATGAATATCAAATAGGTTTGCTATTTTGATCGTCCCTCACAAGGGCACCGCACTGTTGAAGCAGCGCTCTGACCCAAAAGTGTTCTTCTAGGTCTTTAGTTGCCACATTTGGGAGCGCATAGAGCAAAAAGTATTAGATGGAAAGGAGCAAGTAATTGCTTGAAACATGTTCCAATCCAATCCTCTCATATTAGAGAGGATTGGAGCATGTAACAAACTCAAATACATGTCCACATGCTTCTCTTTAATCTCACAAGACAGTATTTTGTGCTTATGTGTGAGTTAGTGTGCACTTTGTGTGTTCTTACATATTCATCTACTTTGAAGAACATGGCCCCGTGTTGGACTGACATGTTTCATTAGGGCAACTAGGTCAGCATGAGATCCAAGAGTGGCGGAAGGAAATGAGAAAAATAAAATGCGGAGTGAGTTTTTGGAGCAGACCGCTAAGTGAGAGCGAGACGTAGAAAGCGATGAGAAAAGATGAAGGGGACGGACGAGGCTGCACACTAGCAATGAGAGGGAAAGACGAGGGGCCAAAAATTAAAAAGCAGGAGGCAAAGAGGTTGTATTTCTTTCTTTCATTTTTCCAGTCCAGCTCCAAGTATGATGTGAGTCCAATTCCGTGTGAGCGTAGTATCTTTTATTAACGGCACATGGGACTCAGAGCAATCCAATATTCCAGAACTGAGGCATGGCACTAGAGGCAGAGAAAGGGTTTAGATGGTTCCGTTAATTGAATTCTCAGCCAAAGCGAGTCCTTCCACAAGGGCTCCGAGTTTTTAACTCTGTCGGGAGATTAACATTCTCTCAAGTGGCTTTTTAGCTATTTAATTCAGACTCACCTGCCAAGGTTATTCTCTGTTTTTGTTACCGCTCTGTGTGTTTCTTCTCTTTCTGCAGCTCTCCAATTACAAACACAACTTATCTTTTTTCCACCCTTGTTTAATTTAGCCTCCGATGCTTGAGCCCCATAATGAATGTGTCTGTGTTCAGTCCTGCTCGGGTTATCTCTCCGTCTCTTTTATTTTTTTTTTTGTCCTGAATGCACCTGCAGAAACACACTCGTGCAGCCGTGCATACGGTCCAACCTGTTTCCCCGCAGCCTGAGTCAGACATCACAGGCTATTGAGTGGGTTGAAGGCAACATAAATCACCTTTTGATCACATTGCTTGCTTTAAAAAAGAAAAAAATGTGGCACAAAACAAGTAAAGAAAGATGTTGCAATTGTTTTTATTCTCCCCAGTTTAGATTTCTTTCTTTTATGTTACAGCATTCACATCCTGCCACGTTTCATTACAACATTCTGTTGCAAATGTCGCGTTTTAGGCATTAATTTGAATACATTTGTCCAGCTTCCTCCATTGTGTTGTTTTTTCTGAGGACTTTCTTCATTGTTTTGTATTTTGTTTTCATTTATGGTCCAAAGGAGGAGGTTGGGGGAATTTTTGACAATACAATCTGTTTGAGACGGGGGCCCGAGCAAACAGTTTTAACAGGCATGTCTTTCTAATGTTCGCCTGGACCGGGGGTCGGCAACCCGCGGCTCTGGAGCTGCATGCGGCTCTTCCATCCATCTGATGCGGCTCTCTGTGCTTGTAAAATAATGAATGGATATTTAAATAAAATGCTTTATATTTTACTGCATTAATTTTACATCTGTATGCCAATTCTAAATGTAAAGATTGTCTGCGTAAACCTGAACAGTTCCAACCCGGTCTTACTGTGAGACCGGGTTGACGCGTCACGCTTGTGCGCAATCATAGGCGCTTTATGAGCTGAAGAGGATGTGAGATTCTGGGACTCTCCTCAGACGGCTCCTGGATGTGTCGCCACATAGGAGACAGGAACAAGCGCTATTCAGCCAAAGTTTCATAATCAGGGAACATTTTCTAAGTGACAAGTCTCGCTTCAGTCGGAGGAATCTTCCCGCATGCGCCCTGGTTCTGCGACGCGCTCCAAGCCCCTCTCCACATCTTCAGCTCGCTGTGCACCGTACGTACTCGCTGACAGTGAGCTGCGCTGAGCAGTGTCCAGCTCAGATGTTCAGATGGGAATCATTTCTTGAGTGATTTAGCTACATCTGTGATGTGCGTAACGAATAAAATGTCAGTTCGTCTGCATGCGTCGGGGTAATTCTTTCTATTCTTTCTCCGTCAAAATAAACGGTCAAATACGGGAACTGTCCGGTCAACACAAGCCCTGCTTTTAACTGTTCTGTTTTCTTGTGAAAATTGTTGCAAAGAGATATAATTTAACTTGATTACCACCAGAGCCAGGCGCACTGCGCCGTTATCTCCGTCACTGTAAATGAGGGAAAAATAAAATGATCAGATCCTTTTCTGACCTTCCCCACCTACAAAGTTTAATTACAACAATCAAACGTGACAGAGCCTGGATTTGTATTCTGAACAGTCTAAACATGTTTTAAAAAGAAACGTATGACAAAAGTGGTACCTGCTCAGTAAAACCACCAACAGGGTGAAAAATATCAAAATGTTGTAGGCAGAGACGGGCTACAACTTCTGGATCCACTTTATATAAATCATTTTATTGATTAACGTCTTATGAAAGATACCTTTGACGTACACGAGCGACCGGTACCGGCTGCTATCACCTGTTGTGAGCAGCTCTCTGCTGTCTGAGGTTAGGCCCCGCCCACAACGCCGCGGCTGCTGTGGCTCCCAGTGTTTTCTTTACTGTGGGAAACGGGTAATAATGGCTCTTTGATGGGAACAGGTTGCCGACCCCTGGCCTGGACGATATCGCCACAGCAGCTCTTAAATCTGCTAGATTGATACGATGCTGGCAAACATGAATGCTGCTCTGCCGGTTTCCTCAGTGAGCCCAAAATAATGAAATAAAAAAAGGTAGTGGCATTTACACAAAACTGCCACAGTGTGGACAAACACATGCACATTCATGTTGCCATGTTGGGCGTTTAAATAAAAATGAGTCATGTGCACACACTTGTTGTTCTCTAGCCCTTTTTCTTTGATTTTGTGTAAAATAAATACGCAAAATCTTCTTTCTGTTCACCCACACACAGTGTCTCACTCTTACGCACCAACGCATTCCTCCCATCAGCATTCACAGGCGATCAGTATTCTGAAGAGCTTTCCAGGTCAGCCGGACGCTGATCTATCAGGCCCCGACAGTGTGTCGCTTTGTATCTACAGCAGACCTCTCTGCTAAAGGGGAGCACCGACAGTCTTCTGTCACCAGGAAATTCACTGTAAATGTCTGAATCAGTGCTCATTCTGCCATACTTGTCCTACATATGTTAACCCTTTACACACACACACACACACACACACACACACACACACACACACACACACACACACACACGAACACACGTTGTGGGGATCTGCTTAAATTCCGACCAAAAAAAGAAGTAATTTTAATGTTTTGGCTTTGACGACTTAATCCATCCATGTAAGGGCTGGAAGTGTGTGTGTGTGTGTGTGTGTGTGTGTGTGTGTGTGTGTGTGTATGTGTGTGTGTGTGTGTGTGTCCATGCATGCATGTGTGTGTGCTCACATTTATAAACATTACACACTGGCATGCAATCTCTCTTGCACACAGACACACATCATCACGTCCAACAAATAACTCATATCTTAATGGCTGATGCTACACACACTTCCATAGCCCTGTGTGCAGTAAAAAGTATGAACATAAGCACATGTGTGTGTGTGTGTGCGCGCGCACGCACGTGTGTGTGTAGCAGCTATCTTAGCTTGTCTCTTTGATCAGCCCATAAAAGCACCGAAGCGTGGACAGATAGCCTGCACCGACACACTATCGCTCCTCCGCTTCACTCCGAGCGTCTCCCTGTTCCTCACGCACATTAACCGCCACAAACACACTCTGACACACTGCCCCGTGTGTATCCGCATCTCTCCCATCTCCCGGTGCCTCTGAGGAGCATTGTGCTGCCTCCTCGGCCTTATCTAGCAGCAGCTGTGAATACATCAGCTTCATTTTATCTGTTTATCTTTTTTTTACGTACTTGAAAGTACGCTGGGCTGAAAGTTAATGTGTAATCTCACCTCACCAAAGTGACTGATGCTGGATACTGATACTCCCACAGAAATCTTCTTTTTGCCTGCCACTGAAATCAAAACAGCAAAAGTGCCAACTTGGGAAACTTTGACATTTATTCTATTTTTTTTTGTTTTTTTGCGAGACCTAACCCACTTTGACTGTTTTCATCTTCTTTTTCTTCCTTTCTCCACTCCAGATAAGTATATTCATGACCCACCTGTCAAACTACGGAAACGATCGACTGGGTCTGTACACTTTTGTCCACCTGGTTTCCTTCCTTCGCTCATGGACGAACCTGAGACTCCACACCCTCCCACCCCTCCAGCTCGCACACAAGTACTTCCAGCTTTTTCCGGAACAAAGGAACCCGCTCTGGCAGGTTTGTTCACAAGGATACAAGCTCACATATCCACATGTATGGACATGTGTGTCTACTTCTTTTCTTAGCTCATTCCCTTGGTGATGTAGATAGATCATGAGTTTTTTTCTTAAAGGTCACCATCTAGAGGCAGAAAAAAATATTACACCATAAGCCCCTTTCCCTCCTTCCACGATAACCACTGAAAGCGACACCTCTCATTTGTGAATGCCCAACTTTTTTATTCATATTATTTTCCATAAGAAATTTCACCAACTGTTCATCAGTCTTTGGCTTGTAAATTACAGAGAGGTGTCTAGGTCCTGAAGCAGCAAAGCATCCCCAGACCATCTACCATCAACCACCATGTTTGACTGATTGTATGACCTTTTTCTGAAATGCAGCGTTATTTTTCACCAGATGAAATGGGACACACACTGGAAAAAAGGGCCAGCCATAAAAATTGACTTCATGTCATTTAATTACATATAAATATCCTGTGTAAATTTATTACAGAAGCCCTTTTTACAAGACACACCGTGCTGGCAAATATGCGTAATATTACCACGACTACGTGTCTTATCAATGCGCTGTGCAAGCATGGTGTTGCGCAAATTTAGCGGCATTCATTCCACCTCGCTTGGTAGTAATAATGCGTTATTGGTCTGTCTTATAAATGGCTATTGTGCCATGACGCAACAGGGGGAGGTGTTTTAATGACCTGGGGAGTTATAGCCGAGCTCCGGTCAGCAAATATATTGAAAATAAAGTAAACACGGTCAATAAGTTTTACTTTTTGAACAAAATCAGCTGAGACGGCAAACTGGAGCGCTGCAGCGCTCCATGAACGTCTCTCTGTTAGAGTTGAATCTCAGATCATCAGACTGCACAAGGACTGATGGAGACAGACTCCTTTCAGAGCGGTTTGTTAAGAAAAACTTAACGATCACAGCTTCTATCACAATGAAAAGCAAGTTGTGTCCAAGACAAACGGAAGTCTGCGGCATTGCTAATACCGCCCCCATATCCCCTTTATGCCGCTATCGCCTAACTTTTTTAGATAAAGGACACAATTGTTCCACATTACCACCACGGTCTGACCACTTACAAATGACCTACGTGTTAGTGATGTGTCGGTCACGAACGAACCGGCTCTTTGAAGTGAACAACGGGAGCCGGCTCTTCATTGGGAGCCGCCCCCTCCCCTCCCCTCTTGCTTTGGTGAAAGCTACAGGCGATTGGTCAACATGTGTAACGGCGTGTCCAGACTGTCCACACACAGAGCAGTAGGGGCAGGGAAGAGGGAGTGCGACGAAAACGGTGAGAAAATGAGCGCCAGCAGTCGGAAAGTTGAGATTTCTTAAAGTGTTCAGTTATTAAATCCATAGAAATGATAAATATTTGATATATAGCATTTTTTACATGAATAAATCATTTTACATATAGTTTAGCATTATTTTGGTGATAAATGTACTCTACGCAACAGAAAATCTGAGGAGCCACTTGGGAGCCAAAAGAGCCGGCTCTTTTTGGTGAGCTGAGCCAAAAGAACCGGCTCTCTAAAAAGAGCCGGAATTCCCATCACCACTACGTGTCCCTGATGCCGCCACGGCGTAGCAGCAAATTGACAGCATTGTTTTGTAAAATCGGCTATAAAGTCAATGAGACATCCACTCGTAACCTGTTCTTATGTTAATTGAACTCATGTTAAATTATTTTAAAAACAACCATTGTGATTTTAAAAGTGTAGTCGGTGATCAACAGGTCCAAGAATCATTTTATTGTCCGTCTTATTTCTTCTGCAACCCAAATGAAGAACAAATAACACACTGGGGATTTGCTGCCTCTTTAAAAGTCCTAAAAATGGGACTTGATTAAGTAAGGTTTGCCAAATATTCTTAGTTTAGGTTTACATGTGATTTCAGTTCAGCCGTTTTGATCATTAACATTTTAATTGTAGAATTTTTTGTGAAATCTTACATAAAAGTTCTAGCTTGTGTTTACTAGGGTCAAAAATACATTTTTGAATGCACCTTCCAAAGTTTTCCACTTTTCCAGGCTGTTATTCCTCTCATTTCCTTATTTGAAAACTGCATTTTAGATTTCCCAGGTTATCTTTTCTGACGTTGTTGATCTCATACATAAAAACACAACAAATAGAAGAAACATGTGAGAGGGAAAGCTGTTTTCTCACAAGACTGTATATTCTGACACTACAATAGGAAAACATAGGCTTGTTTTGTATGGCCTATTAAGGGCATACTCATACAAACCTGTTCTTGAGTAAAAAAAGGGGGGACATGATTTTGGATTGTTTTATAAGTACCTCTGTTTTGTTAATAATGGGGGTAGAATGTGTTTTGGATTACCTGCTAAGATTTAATTAGTAAATAAAGGAACTAGGCCTAAATGACTACTAACGAGCTGATGAAATAATCGTAAAAGGTAAACCAATGAAAGCATCACTGATAAATGAATGACAATCAAATGTACTCCATCTGTCAAGTCCTATGTCCTCTGTGTGTGACCTGACAGTCCATGGTGGTACTTTTCTGACAAATGCACATCATTAACAGAGCAGTATTATCATTTAGCCATTTCTTGGATCAAATACATTGCACCTCTGTCTTTTTGTCCTCTGCGGGGGTAGATTGTGTTTCTGTGTGTCTTTCACAAGGCTGCAGCTGATAGTGTTCAAGGAAGGCGTTGAGCTGCGAGAACAGTTCTAATATCGAAACAGTGTTTGTGAGAAAGCCAAAAGGTGTTTTTTTTGTGACAGAAATATTGGTTTTACAAACCAGGTGCACTGAGAAATTGTGCTTTACTGATTGTTTGGAAAATGATTACTCAGATTTTAACATGCAGGCTGAACCTGAAAACACTCTTCTACCCCTATTTCCTGTGTTAGCTTCTGATAGAAAATGGACGGAAAAACGCTTGCTTCAGAAAAGTCAGTCAGATCTTCGTGACACTGTCCGTTGACATTCATGGACTCACCCATCTTGACTCGCAACAGGGAAAGGCTGTTGTTGGTTTAGCATTCAGGAAACAGCAGAGAACGTCTCAGCTAGTAGAAGCTAACTGTTAGCATTAGTAACTCCACCACGCAGCAGAACTCCATCAGGCTTGTTTTATTTGTCAAGATAAAACATCAACATTGCAACACAAACAAAGTCAGTAGTAGAGTCACGTTGCATTTAGCCAATCAGAGGAGAAATGTCCCAATATCAAGAAATAGGACTGCCGTTTTCTGTCTATCATTCAGTGCCCCGCGCTGCGCTCAGACTTACTAACCACGTGACCATCCATCTGATACCAGCGTACAAATAAAGGCTAAAACGCTCCAAGTTGTGACGTAAAAAAAATGTGGAGCTACTGGGCTCTCGATGAGCTCCGCACTTGCTTAGAAACCACAGACTGGGACGTAATGAGGGCTGCCTCTGGACAGATACCACCTCCTACATCCACTTCTGCCAGGACAGCATCATACCAACATGCACAAGGATGTGTTATAACAATGACAAAGCCTGGTTTTAGCCCAAAACTCAAACAGCTGTGGTTAGAAAAGAGAGAAGCTTTTAAAGGTGGGGACAAGAACTTCTACAGAGACTCTAAGTACAAGTTCAGCAAAGAAGTGGCCATAACTAAACACCAGCACCATGACAACATACAGCAGCAACTCTGAAAACAGCTCAGTCTTTGTGTGGAAAAGTTTCAGGAACATTAGGAACTACAAGCCCAAATGATGATGGTGTGTCTCCTGCCACTCTAAAGCACTGTGCTGAAGAGCTGGCCCCAGTGTTTATGGGCATTTTCAACTCCTCACTAGAAGCATCTCATGTGCCTGCCTGCTTCTAGACACCATAGACACCATAGTCTCTGATCCCAAGAAGTCAAGGATCACTGGACTCAACGACTACAGACCTGTGGCTCTGACATCAGTGGTCATGAAGTCACTTGACCACCTGGTTCTCCCACACCTTAAGACCCTCACAGCCCCCCTCCTGGACCCCTGCAGTTTGCCTACAGAGGCAATAGGTCTGTAGATGATGCCATCAACATGGCTCTGGATTACGTCTCTGCCTTCAACACAATCCTCCCAGACCTCCTCCAAGACAAACTGTCCCAGATGAGCATGCCTGACCTAATCTGCAGGTGGATCACTGACTTCCTGACAGACAGGAAGCAGCAAGGGAGGCTGGGGAAGAACGTCTTTGACCTGCGGACCATCAACAATGGTTCCCCTCAGGGCTGTGTTCTCGCCCCTCTGCTCATCATACTGTACACCAACAGCTGCACCTCTGACCATGAGTCTGTCAAGTTTGCAGAAGATATCTCCGTCTCAAGACTCATCTCTGAAGGGGATGAGTCTGCCCAAAGAATGGTGGTCGAACGGCTGGTGTCCTGGTGCAGCCACAATAACCTGGTGCTAAACGCACAGAAGACAGCGAGGGTTATTGTGGACTTTAGGAACCACACAGCCACAGTCGCCCCATTACCCTGTCTGACACTCCCATCATGATGGTGGACTCCTGTCGTTTCCTGGGCACCACCATCACCCAGCACCTCAAGTGGGAGCCTACCATCACCTCCATAATAAAAATGGCCCAGCAGAGGATGTACTTCCTGAGGCACTTGAAGAAATTCAACCTGCCAGTACAGTCGATGAGGCAGTTCTACACCGCAGTCATCGAGTCCATCCTCACCTCTTCTACCACTGTGCGGTATACTGGAGCTACCGCCAGGGTTGAACGTCAAACTGAGTAGACTCTTAATTCAGTCTACATAGTGTGTTATTTATTTATTTCATTTGTTTCATTGTTTGAGAAGTTTACTTTACCAACTTCACATGCTTTAAACAGCATTCAGGACACATCAAAGGGGAAGCCTGTCTCTTTGATTCATTGTTGTGGCTTCTTAATGGTACAGGCTTTTGGATCTGATCCCCTTTTCTCTGCCTTTGTAGAACCCATGTGATGACAAACGGCATAAAGACATCTGGTCTAAAGAGAAAACCTGTGACAGGTTACCTAAATTCCTGGTTGTGGGGCCACAGAAAACAGGTAATGAACACGCGCGCACACACACTCAGACATGAACACACAACACAGGCTCCCTGTGTGCGCGCAGGTGTCTGCATCAGAGCCTTTTCATGTAATCCCCGCTGCTTCTTTACCCCTGTCAGAAGGAGACAAAAGAGGAGGCTCCTGCCTCCTTCCATTCTTCCACCCACATGCTATCTCCTTTAGAAGCACAGAGACACCAATGTCTTCATCTTTTTTTTTCTTGCTGTTGCTCTGTCTCCATCAAGTAGACTGAAATAGAGAAGCTTATTAAAAACGTGTATACATTACCGGAGTCTTGAGTGTCGTATCTAGAATTCTGATCACCGGCTTTTTTGGGAGAGAGGTGAGAAGGCGAGGCATGACTGCTAATTAACTGGGTGATAATCTCCCAAATGGAAGGAGAGGTCATTGTAGTAACATCAGCAGCCCAACAACAATTAGGCTGCTATAAATTGTCATTTTATTAGAGGGAGCGTCAGAGAGAGTGTGAGGGGAAGGGGGGTGAGAGGAGGAGCACGGGGGTGAGGCGGAGGGCAGGACTGCTGATTGGTGTCAAATGGTTCTGAATCATGTGAAAGGAGAGACTTATGATCTCTGCACACACGCACGCACACACACCCACACACACACGGGCGACGGTGGCACAGGAGTTAAGTGCTCGCCCCGTAATCGGAAGGTTGCAGGTTCGAGCCCCGCTCAGTCTGTCGCTGTCGTTGTGTCCTTGGACAAGACACTTAACCCCTGTTGCCTGCTGGTGGTGGTCGGAGGGACTGGTGGCGCCAGTGCTCGGCAGCCTCGCCTCTGTCAGTGCGCCCCAGGGCAGCTGTGGCTACACCGTAGCTCATCCCCACTAGCGTGTGAATGTGTGAATGACCGATTGTGTTGTAAAGCGCCTTGAGGGGTTCCAGGACTCTAGAAGGCGCTATATCTAAAGCAAAGTCCCTCATTGTGTAAGTTTAAAGAGAATTATAAAAAATTATACTAATTAATTACATGGAGGAGGAGGAGGAAAAGATGTAAGGGTGTTGCATTTGATTGTAATTGTCTATTGTTTGTGAACTGGGAGCTGTGAATATTGGAGGGGGGTGTGGGTGTGGGGGTGAAACATAAAAAATGTAAATTTTGTTTGTGTGATTGAGGATAAAACATGTTATAACAAAATGGCAATGACAGTGTGGGGAAAATATACATTTTTTTTGTTTTATCTTTCTTGAAATTTGATTTGGGGGGGGGGGGGGGGGGGGGGGGGGTATATAAGCTACCAGAGCTTCTTTCCCTTCCTGTTGAGCATTTTCTACATATATCAAATACAGGCCATTTACTCTCTCTCTCTCTCTCTCTCTCTCTCTCTCTCTCTCTCTCTCTCTCTCTCTCTCTCTCTCTCTCTCTCTCTCTCTCTCTCTCTCTCTCTCTCGCCCTCTCTCTCTCTCACACACACACACACACACACACACACACTCATGTTACTCCCCCATGAGCTGAATTAACACATTACGTTCTGTCTTCCAGGAACGACAGCACTTTATCTCTTCCTGCTCATGCATCCTTCAGTATCCAGTAACTTTCCCAGTCCAAAGACATTTGAGGAGGTCCAGTTCTTCAACACGAACAACTACCACAAAGGAATTGACTGGTGATGACACACACACACACACACACACCCTGTCTCTTGTTTCTTGTCTTCTATCAGCTAGTGCCTAAGGTGAAACAGGCGATAACAAACAGCTCGTCTTTACTCTGTAAAGTTGTTAAAGGCTGTTTGCAGACTTCTGTGATAGCAGTTCCAAACAGCTCAACAGCTTCATCAGAACGACACTTTAATCCTGCTAACGTAAGCCAACAGACATATGGCTGCCTAAATTGACCCGTAAATGGGTTACTTAGCAAACAGACACAGCTGGTTCATTCTCCAAAGGACCCCATAAATACTTGACTCTGAGACTCTGTCGTTAGGCTGCCGTAGACGCCGAAATTTACAGCTGGAGACTGTTTGAATGTGTGCTCAGAGCCGTAGCTGTGGATACTTCAGGGTTGAGTCTGTGTCTCTTTGGCCTCAGGTACATGGACTTTTTTCCCGTACCCTCTAATGTCAGCACAGACTTCATGTTTGAGAAGAGCGCTAACTATTTTCCCTCGGAGGAGACCCCAAGGCGAGCTGCCTCCCTGCTGCCCAAAGCCAAGATCATCACCCTGCTCATCAACCCATCTGACAGGGCCTACAGCTGGTATCAGGTAAGCTGATGTGACTGGACTTAAATGTGACAGCACACGTTCCGTCTCTACCTTTACACGTCTGACTACATTAACACAAGATGTGTGACATATGTCTTCAATGGCAATGAGCATTCTATCTCAATCGATGCTTGTTAATTCAGTTAATTTAACTTTTATTTCAACTATTTTTGCATCCCAGCCAGAAAAACGTCACGAGATCTGGAATTGATGTGCAGAAACTGATTTGATTGAAGTCAGCTTTAATATTTTTGTTTTTTTTATCCACAAACAACTAAAGTCTTTTATGTCCAGGTTGAGTGCTTTGAAGCTTATTTGGTTGTTGTGTTCCTCCTTCCAGCATCAAAGAGCTCACGAGGACCACGCGGCCCTGCAGTTCACCTTCTATGATGTCATCAGTGCAGGAAGGGGAGCACCTGCAGAGCTGCGCTCGCTGCAGAGTCGCTGTCTCATCCCTGGTCTGTATGCTGCACACCTAGAACGGTGGCTGGCATACTACCCCCCCAACCAGGTGAGCAGAAACACAGGTGCAGACTGTTGCAAAGAAATCTGGCATCCATTGTTGTTTTTCCCTGAATTTTAGGATGAACAGTTCTTCCGAGATTTTAAATGTTTAACTTTGAATGCATACATATAAAACTTTGTAGATTGTCGTAAAACAGTTTTTTTATTGTCTCGTGAGCACGGAAATTGCAATAAAACCCTTTTGCAGAATACCATGCAGGATGCAGACATCATGTCATTGATTGTGTCATTATCCGGGCCTCGGTGCAGGTGATGATCATAGACGGCCATCAGCTCCGAGCCGACCCTGCAGCAGTGATGGATGAAGTCCAGAAGTTCCTTGGAGTCACTCCTCACCTCAACTACTCCCAGGCTCTCACGTAAGTGTCTCACACATCGTGTTACCTTTCACATCACACACTCACGCATGCCGGAACTAATGTTTATTTTAAATAAAACACGTAAAAAAGGACAAATTTTAAATCTGTGGAAACCATGACATCTACTGGTGAACAGTCCAGCTCAGGTTATCTCATACTGGAGATCTACTATCTAGTTAGACACTCAGGAAAGGATCTGAAATGATCACAGGAGAGCAGAAAAGATGTTCAGATGTTGCTTTTCTGATTAAAATCACACAAAACCAAATTTCCATATATTTAATGTAGAAGCAGGAAGTAAAATTTGACAATAAAACAAATAAAGAAAGCTCTAATGGATTATTAATATGTATCTCCCTCTGGTAAGTAAGTGAGTATGTCAGGACTCAGGTATCTCCCGGCTGACGTTCGGACCACAACTCCCGACATGCTCCTCATGGGGAGCTCCCAGCGTGCTCCTCGCGGGGATTCCCTCCACGTCACAGCCAAGCAAGGCTATATATGGAAGACGCCGGTACCGGCTTCTCATCTCAGTCATCGTTTCTTCCTCACAGAGATACGACCGGAGAAATAATAAAACTGTTAAACGTCTCACCTTGTTCGTCTCCTTCATCCAGTCTGATCAGCCCGACAGGATGACTGAGATCCAAGTAGATCCGACGGAGATCGATCGTCTCCGCCACGAGAACGTGCAGCTGCGTTCCATGGTAGATCAGCTCAACACCAAGGTGAACTCCTTGTCCGACCACACCCTGCGTCTATCCACGGCTCTCACGGCTCTCCAACAACAAGCAAACGATCAGCAGCAACAGATCGCGGCACTCCAGCATCCAACCCGCTCTGCTCCTAGGGAGGAGCCCCACTTCAGCCTGCCGGAGAGGTGAAACGGAGAGACGGGGAGCCCTGATGGTCTGCTCGCCACGCTGGACATGCAGTTCGAGTGCCAACCTGGACGCTACCCATCTGCGCGCTCCCGAGTGGCGCATCTCACCTCCCTGCTCTCCGGACGCGCCGCGGAGTGGGCTGCTGCGCTTTACAATTCCAAATCCCCTGCCTGCAACGACTATGCTGCGTTTGTGTCCGCTCTCCGGAAGACCTTTGTTCCCCCCAGCAGCGAAGTGGGAGCAGAGACACGCCTTCTCAAACTCCGCCAGCGGGAACGCTCGGTGTGCGCTTATGCGTCGGAGTTCCGCACCATCTCCGCCAAGCTGCAGTGGAATGACTCCGCTCTGCGGGCCGCCTTCCTGGAGGGGCTGGCACCCTACATCCATGATGAGTTGGCGGGAAGGGAGCTGCCTCAGACCCTGGATGAGGTGGTGGATCTGGCGCTGCGCATCGACCAGCGGGTTCTGGTTCGACCCAAGTTATCCACGCGTCCCCCCAGGATGCCGGTGCCTCGCCCTCGTTCACCCACGCCAGCTCCTGTACCCATGCTGACGGAGGAGCCCATGCAGCTCGGCCACCTTCCCCCCGAGGAGAGACAACGACGGTGGCGCGAGGGCCTCTGTGCCTACTGTGGCTCTCCCGACCACCGACGCCTGGACTGCCCGCGACGATCGGGAAACGGGGGGCCCCACTGAGTATTGGGGTCGCTCAGTCTGGGTCTTCTTCTACCCCTGTCGCTACTAACCGCCTCCTTATTCCTGTCACCCTCCTCCATGGTGAGGCCTCACTCCACGTAAACGCATTGGTGGACTCGGGGGCCGCGGACAATTTCATGGACCAGGATCTGGCAAAACGCCTACGGATCCCCCTACAACCCCTGGAGAGGGTTATACCAGTGACCTCGGTGGACGGTAGGCCTCTCCAACCCTACCCAGTCCGAGACCGAACCCAGCCACTCCGTATGATCACCCAAGGCCACCAGGAGACCCTCCATTTCCTGATCATTTCTGCTCCCTCTTCTCCCCTAATCCTGGGGTTCCCCTGGCTCCGTCTCCACGACCCTCATATTTCCTGTTCCCAGAACCGCCTGCTGGGCTGGGGGACCTCGTGCCAGACCCACCTCGCTCCTCCTCCATCCTCGGCGGGTCTTCAGGACGGGGGCCCCAGCTCCACACCGCCCCACCTGCCGCTGCCCTATCGGGACCTGGCCGCGGTGTTCGACAAGCGGCGCGCCACCTCCCTGCCACCTCACCGGCCATATGATATGGAGATCAAGCTGCTACCCGGAACCAGTCCTCCCCGCGGGCGCCTTTTCTCTCTCGCGCCTCCCGAGACCAAAGCGATGGAAGAATATATCGCCCAGGCCCTCCAGCAGGGGTTCATTCGACCCTCCTCCTCTCCGGGTGCCGCTGGCTTCTTCTTCGTGAGGAAAAAGGAAGGCGATCTTCGCCCCTGCATAGACTATCGGGGTCTGAACAAGATCACGGTCAAGGACCGCCATCCTCTGCCGCTCCTCACTACCGCTCTGGATGCCATCTCCCAGGCACGGATCTTTACGAAACTGGATCTCCGGAGCGCCTACAATCTGGTCCGTATAAAGGCCGGGGATGAGTGGAAGACCGCTTTCATAACACCCACCGGCCACTGGGAGTACCTGGTTATGCCCTTCGGACTATGCAATAGCCCTGCTGTCTTCCAACGTCTCATTAATGATGTCCTCCGCGACATGCTGGGACGGTGGGTGTTCGCCTATCTGGACGATATACTGATCTACTCCAAATCCGAGGCCGAACACATCCATCATGTTCGCGCCGTCCTGACCCGGCTCCTGGACCACAACCTGTACTGTAAACCCGAGAAATGCTCCTTCCATCAGCAGTCCATATCCTTCCTGGGTTACAGGATCTCGGACGAAGGGATAACCATGGACCCTCAGAAAATCCAGGCGGTGAAGGACTGGCCCTTGCCAACCAGCCTGAAACAACTGCAGAGTTTTCTGGGTTTCTGCAACTTTTACCGCCGTTTTATAAAGAACTATAGCACCCTCGTAGCCCCTCTCACCTCTCTCACTCGACCAGGCTCCCCTGGCCAGCCGTTTCATCTAACTCCCGACGCCATTCGGGCCTTCCACCACCTGGTCACCCGCTTTACCTCGGCCCCGATCCTCCGCCATCCAGATCCTGCAGTCCCCTTTGTGGTCGAGGTCGACGCCTCTGACGTCGGCGCCGGCGCCATCCTATCTCAAGGCGGGCCCGACGACAGGCTCCATCCCTGCGCCTACTTCTCCAGGAAGTTTTCCACCACCCAGCAGAAGTACGGTGTGGGCGACCGTGAGTTACTGGCCATAAAATGGGCATTGGAGGAGTGGAGGCAGTGGCTTCTGGGCACCACTCAGCCTTTCACGATCTGGACTGACCATCAGAACCTGACCCACATAAAATCTGCCAAGCAGCTTAATCCTCGCCAGGCTCGCTGGGCCCTCTTCTTTGAACCCTACGACTTCCATCTCGCCTACCGCCCGGGAGCCAAGAACCAGAAGGCGGACGCCCTCTCCCGCCAATTCACCCACTCCTCGCCCTCGTCCGAGCCAGCGCCAATCCTCCCGGAACACTGTTTCCTGGGCCAACTGAGGTGGCCGTTGGAGGAAGCTATCCAGAACGCCCTCCGGGACGACCCCGCGCCTCCTGAGACCCCCGCGGGTCGCCTCTATGTCCCCACGGCCTGTCGCAGCGAGGCGTTGTCCTGGGCCCACTCATCACGCCTGTTTGGCCACGCTGGTTTCTCCAGAACTCTTAAATTCCTCCAGCGAGCCCTCTGGTGGCCAGGCATGGCGAGGGATGTGAAAGAATACACCAGCGCCTGTGACGTCTGTGCCCGCTCCAAGAACCCCAACCAGGCCTCGGCTGGTGCCCTCCGACCTCTTCCGGTGCCCAGCCGCCCCTGGTCCCACGTGGGGCTGGACTTCGTCACAGGTCTCCCGTCGGTCAATAACCTCAACACTGTCATGACGGTTACGGACCGCTTTTCCAAGTCTGTCCATTTCATCGCCCTTCCGGGTCTCCCCTCAGCCCAACGCACAGCGGAACTGTTCCTGGAGAACGTGGTGCGCCTCCACGGGTTCCCAGTCGACGTGGTCTCGGATCGGGGGCCCCAGTTCACGGCCCGGTTCTGGAAAGCTTTCTGTCGGCTGATGGGAGCATCGGTCAGTCTATCCTCAGGCTACCACCCGCAGACCAATGGCCAGACGGAGCGGGCTAACCAACAGCTGGGTCGGTACCTTCGTTGTTTTGTCTCGGCTCAACCCTCACAGTGGCCTAAATACCTCCTCTGGGCGGAGCTGTCCCACAATCTTCACACCTCATCTGCCACTCGGTTGTCCCCTTTCGAGGTCTGCTATGGCTTCCAGCCCCCGGTCTTTGCCCACCAAGAACCCGAGGTCGCCGTTCCAGCAGCGGAAGCCATGGTGAGACGCTGCAAGAGCGCCTGGATCAAAGCACGAGCCTCCATAACCAGAGCTAACACCAGCTATGCTCGCCAGCATCTCCGTCGACACCGTCCTGGTCCCTCCTATGCTCCTGGGGACAAGGTCTGGGTGTCCACGGCTGACCTTCGGGTCCGTGCCGGGGCCAAGAAACTCGCTCCTCGGTTCCTCGGCCCATACCCCATCCAAAGGGTCATCAACCCGGTCACGTACCGGTTGCGACTGCCGGCTACTCTCCGCATCCATCCCACCTTCCATACCTCCCGGCTCAAGCCCTTCGTGGAGTCCTCCCTTCTCCCGCCTCCGGCTCCGGCGCCGCCTCCTGCCCGCTTCCTCGACGGTGAGCCTATCTACACCATCCGGCGCATCCTGGACGCTCGCCGCAGGGGTCGGGGCTGGCAGTACCTAGTAGACTGGAAGGACTATGGCCCAGAGGAACGCTCCTGGGAGCCGGCTCGGTCCATCCTGGACCCTTCCCTGATCTCCGACTTCTGGGTCCGCCGGGGTCGCGCTGGGACTTCTGGAGCCGTCCCTGGACCGGGGGGTCCTGTCAGGACTCAGGTATCTCCCGGCTGACGTTCGGACCACAACTCCCGACATGCTCCTCATGGGGAGCTCCCAGCGTGCTCCTCGC